CCCATTATACGATTGGAGTAGCCCAAGAGTTGGCGGTGGATGCTGTTGAATAGCTTCCTTCTCTGTAATCTGTCAATTCGAAATAAGGGATGAATAGCGCAGATAACAATGAATGGAGTAGCCCAAGAGTTGGCGGTGGATGTTATTAAATAGCTTCCTTCTCTGTAATCTGTCAATTCGAAATAAGGGATGAATAGCGCAGCTAACACTGGTGTAACTCCGAACTAACCAAACTCTGGTTCCACATATGCTATAAATGTATCTATTTCTTTGCTATCTGCGTAAACTTCAACACCTTCCACTCATAGAGCAAATTTGAGGTATGATTTCTAAACATTATCTTTTTCCGCCTTATGGTTGAGCTCTTCAATTCGCGTGTGTATTTTCAGACATTTACTGCGAAATGTAATCTCCTGACGTTCTTTTAACCGTGATGCTCTATCGAAGTGTTAACGGACCTACTAAATATACCGGATAACAAAGATCACTAAACGTTCAATATTTACTTTAATATACATAATGAAAAAAGAATCTAACAGTGACATATGAAATGATGGAAATTTACACACACACATATTTATATATATATATATATAATAAGCTATTGTGAAAAGTTAATTACCCATCTTATTTCTTCTGAAAAAGGTTCTTTAATAATCAACGTTTCAGTTACCCTACTGGCATACGATATATATGTTCTTCTGAAGTTGAAGGCTTAGACCTATTGCTTGACTTATGCAAAATACATATGCATATAATTAAGGTTTATCCTGAGTTACAATGAGTTGATTGGTATTTTTGGTTTACTTATACAATATATAGGTTTATTCTGAGTTACAATGAGTTGATTGGTACTTTTGGTTTACTTAAACAACATATAGGTTTATTCTGAGTTACAATGAGTTGATTGGTATTTTGGTTTACTTATACAATATATAGGTTTATCCTGAGTTACAATGAGTTGATTGGTACTTTTGGTTTACTTATACAACATATAGGTTTATCCTGAGTTACAATGAGTTGATTGGTACTTTCATAAAAGTAAAGCGCAATACGTTCTCGTATTGTGTAGTGAGTAGTTTTGTTTTCAAGAAGAGGTTACTAGTAAGACCCCTCCAGTGGCACAGCGGTATTTCTGCGGATTTACAACGATATATACCGGGTTTCGATACCCGTAGTGGGCAGAGCACAGATAACCCATTGTGTAGCTTTGTGCATAACTACAAACAAACAAATACTAGTATGAACGTGACATTTTGTTTATACTTTAAATGATTTTCATAACAAGAGAGGTAAAAATTAATCATTTTAAAGACGATAATTATGCCAAGTTTGGTTACGTAACTCGGTAAGAGATGTACTTGTGTTTACAATTGCATTGTTGTCGAGGCTTTACTAATATTGTTAACGTCACATTACTCGAACCTTCGCTATTTTTCTTGTTACCTTAGCTGAGTATTGTTAAATCAGCGCCGATCACGTACTTTATAGAACGTTCGAAGCCTCAGTGATTAACGTATAAATATAGGCAACCAAGCGAGCGCAAGTCAAAATCTAAAGAAGCAAAGTAAAGTTCAGTCAGGAAAAGTTAGAAAACGTGAATTTAGCCAGCGTGTGAGCGGTTAGCCATAACGGGCGACATTTTAAAGTGACTTTCACAGTTTAATAAAGATAAGGAGAATGATTTGTCTTGTCAAAGGGTGTTCTAAAGTAATGGAACTCGTCTGTATAGACTTTGACGAAAAGGAGACAATTATTTGAAGTTCAAGATACAACTGTGGTAACTTACGGAGTAGCGTAAGCGAATTATTCACTGATACTATTGTGATAAGAGTAGAAAAAGATATTTCGTCATGTCAACTGGATTCTAAAGTAACCGAATTAGCCTAAGTCCCAGGTAATTATTTAGAGTTTGAGATACAACTGTGATATCCATAATGTAAATATTTTTTGTACATAGTTTAACTTGTTTTAAATATATTATTTTAAAACAAGTGGAGTGTGTGCTGTCCGTTTATTGCTCAAATTTATCGCCATCAAATCACAGATACCTACTGTAGAAGAATCCTTAGTCCACTCATACTTAAAACCCTGACAACTATTAGCAGTATTGTAGAATGAGTGGTTTTGTTTAAAAAAAAAGAGAGATTACTTATGTGAAAGTAAAATTTTGGTTTATCCTTTGACTATTGCCCCCTGCCCCCAGTAGCACAGCGGTATATCTGCGGACTTACAACGCTAG